TCATCTTTTAAGTGGGAGAACTTGCACAATTGGTGGCTGACTAAATACTTTTTTGCCCCACTGTATATTGCCATATCAAATGGTTTGAACATTAAGATCATTTGCCAGATTCCAATTCACTTTCAACACCAGAGGCAAAATAACTTGACCAGGGAAAGGATTTTTTAAAAAATCCCATGGGACTCCTTCTTGGAGTTCTAAAGGCATCAAACAATGTCTGATGTTTTTGTGCTTTAATTTTTGGATTTGATGCAGCTTTATTATTATTATTTTTTTACTAAAGTTCTTATATAAACGAATCTGGACTTTTTAAAGTGATGTGGAATCATTCTAAGCTTCATATATCTGCAACATTTTACATATCTCCCAGAAGCTCAGAGCAGCTATTGCTGATCTATACTGGCTCAGAGGGCCACATTATGACAGAAAGGAGTTTTGACAAGCTTTCTCTCTCTCAGTGCCACCTTGAGGTAGCAGTTTTTCCATGTACAGAAGGAATCAGCTGCTTTCTTGCTTCCACTGGCTATGGGGAATCAGTTTTCTTTCACTCCCTTCCTCATTCAGTGTGGAAAACACAACTGGGGTGAGGATTGGCTTTTCGGGAGAAAGAGAGACTTCTGTGGATCACACCAGAAAAATTCAGCTAATATCCAAGATTGCATTGTTGATAACATTTCCATTTTCTAGGTTTATCAACAAAACAGAAAACCACTTTTTTATATAAAAGTCCATAACTCTGCCATAAAAATCGCTGAAGTACTAAACAATATCAGCAACAGCATGTGTCATGAAATCATGCGTATCAGTTCCATAATCATTAGGAAAACACTGGTTGTTAGCTGGAACCCTAGAAATTAATTAAGAAGGTTGGGATTTTGTTTTGTATTTTTTATGAGTGGTAATATCAACATTAACCATCAACACTGACTAATTAAAAGGATACTATGTGTCACAGAGAGAACAATAGCACTTAATATTTGAGCTGACCATCCTGCCAAATAATTGAAATATGCACTATTTTATCTTGAGAATTCCAACCAGTTTTTAATCAAGAAGTTGATTATTTTTGCTAATATATTTGAATAGTTAACTTAAAAGCAATAATGTTCTTTCCTCTCCAGTTAATCTATTCAAAAATATATTTTCTGGATTGCTGGATTACATTAGTATGCCACATCTTACTCAATATAGAATCACCATCCTCTGATGGTCTTTCAGATCAGCCTTCTCCCACCTGCATATTATTGGCTGGGGGTGCTGGGAGTTGTAATCTGACCCATATGACAATCTCCACATTGGAGAAAGGCTATTTTAGACAACACATAAACCCACACACATGATTTAAAGTCCATCTATCAATAA